ACCCGTTCTTGTCAGTCCTACGAAAACGTCGTATAAACGGGCTTAATCTGGCTGTGGTCGGGAAATATGTCTAAAATAACTAGCAACTTCGTTCATAAACAGTCTTCAATACGTCCATCTCATTCGCAGTTCGTTCAGGTCGCACCACGTCTGTGTGCGACGTTGTATAACGCGTCCCTTAGTCTAGAATGTCATCATGACCTGATTACAGAACGGTATGGTCGCCATCGAATTTTGAATCGATTTAAAATTCTAAATCACATTCCCCGTCCGGGAGAGTCCATAAAGTTCGTAAACAGACCGTAGAACGTTGTAGCTACATTCATTCCGTTCGCACACAGTTTGAAACCAGTTTTGAAGAACGCAGTGGCAACTTGCTTGGTGCGATAGCTATATTTTTGCTAACTCGTTGATAAATACTTTTTTAATCAGTTTTAACCCGTTTGCAATTCGTTCTATCTCGTTCTAAATACGTTCTCAGACAGTTCAACTCGTTGTAAAAACGTCCCTAGTAGGATTGAAGTACGACGGTTCCGTTTATAGTACGTCCAGCTCGTCGTTACTAGGTTGTCATTCGTTCTAATTGTAGAACGTGACGACCAAGAGAACATTTTGAGCATGTTCTAAGTTCTGGAGGACCTACCCGTTCGAGTAGCCGTTCGAGTAGGTTCGATGGAGTTTGTAAATATACCACAAACGGTTCTAAGTACGTCCAGTCCGTTCATACACAGTTAAAGCCAGTTTTCGAGAACGTAGTGAGAACTGGTTTGGTGTGATAGTAGGGTTAGTACATGTGCCAAAGGGAAAGGGCCAAAAGTTGTAATGGAACTAACCCCCCCTATCACACCAAACTAGTTCTTACCCGTTCTTGCCAGTCCTACGAAAACGTCGTAAAACGGGCTCAATCTGGCTGTGGTCGGAAAATATGTCTAAAATAATTAGCAACTTCGTTCATGAACAGTCTTCAATACGTCCATCTTATTCGCAGTTCGTTCAGGTCGCACCACGTCGGTGTGCAACGTCGTATAACGCGTCCCTTAGTCTAGAAGGTCATTATGACCTGATTACAGAACGGTATGGTCGCCATCGAATTTTGAATCGATTCAAAATTCTAAATCACATTCCCCGTCCGGGAAAGTCCATGAAGTTCAAAAACAGACCATAAAACGTTGCAGCTACGTTAATTCCGTTCGCACACAGTTTAAAACCAGTTTTGAAGAACGCAGTGGCAACTTGCTTGGTGTGATAGGTATATTTTTGCTAACTCGTTGATAAATACGTTCTTAATCAGTTTTAACCCGTTTGCAATTAGTTGTACCTCGTTCTCAATACGTCCTCAGACAGTTCAACTCGTTGTAAAAACGTCCCTAGTAGGATTGAAGTACGACGGTTCCGTTCGTAGTACGTCTAGCTCGTCGTTAGTAGGTTGTCACTCGTTCTAATTGTAGAACGTGACAACCAAGAGAACATTCTGAGCATGTTCTAAGTTCTAGAGAACCTACCAGTTCGAGTACGTTCGATGAAGTTTGTAAATAGACCCCAAACGGTTCTAAGTACGGCCAGTCCGTTCGTACACAGTTGAAGCCCGTTTTCGAGAACGTAGTGAGAATTAGTTTGGTGTGATAGTAGGGTTAGCAAGTAAAAGCAAACTCTAAGTGCATACCAGTCACGAGAATATAGTGAGATATTCGATCTTTTTTATAATCCTTAAACATTGAGTTATTTATACAACTTCTAGAAGTATTAATTTTAAGTTGAAATATTTCTTATTCTAAGCAAAGAAGTTCATTAGTCATGCACAAAATACGCTTGATAAGCGTAACTTCCCGTAGTCTCAACAACGAAAATATGTTTTAATAAAAAGTATCCGTGTACTGTACTATCGACGTTACTTCCCTTTTCATGAAATGCCCTATGTACTGTGGATTATATGATGTACCAGGTACCACATTGAAAGGATGTAAGCAATCAAAAATGGTGAAAACCGTATGTTTACAATTATATAAAAAAAACGTATCACATATCAGAACAGGTCATTTAGTACTGAACAAAAAATTCAAAAAGGCCTTAGTTTAATGTCCAGTTTTAAGAACCCCTATTCTAACTATTGAAAATGGATTCTAGTAATACTCACCAACATGAATCTACTTGTTGAGACTAGATCAACTTGAGTTCTTCTGAGAATATGAGGATTTAGCAAGGGCTCCATTGACATAACATTGGGATGCATTTGACTTCATCCTGGATATCTTCTGTAGATATGCAGGATAAAATCAATTGCATCCCAATGCTAAGTCAATGGCACCCTTGATGAAATCCTCATTCTTAAAGGATATCTTAGTCTTTGTATCATTTTCCAATTACCCGTTGAATCAAGGGCTTATTTAATACACGGGGCTTATTGGCTAATTCAAATTGGATGCGGTAAAAAAACGAACGCCAATTTGCGAACGTTCCGGGTATTAAGTTCGCCCTTGGTTGAATGCACAACGCTAAAACGATGTCAATAGGTCAGGCGTTCGTAGTGTTGTCAAAACTGACGAGAACATCATTGAAAAACATCATAAGCAGCGATCCAAAAAGCCAATTATAAAATAAACTTCCGGTATGACTATTTTCATTAAAGGTCTATAATGTCAACTTTATCTAGGGGGGTGTGAGAACTTGAAATTTATTCTGACGATGTGTCTTACCCCCCTTTGGACATAAAGTCCATATGTCAGCACATTTTGATGATTGATAAGTAAATACAATCTATCCATATAACATAACATATTTTCTATAGTTAAGTGAATTTCGGTCACGAACCATTCAGAAACAACAGTTAAAACGAAGATTGTCCCCGTCAGATTTGATTGTACCACATGGAAACCAACAATGGGTTTTCTCATTTGTATAATCATGTGAGCAATAGACTGTCATGGGTAATTTCCGAAGCAGGGTGACACACATTAACAGAAAACACAATCGCCACTTAAAATTACATTTTCCTGTTTATTCTGTTCGCATCAAGCCGTTTTTACATGTCATATATTCAAGTAAATCAATTACCTACCTCATGATGTGAACAGATTCCAATGCTATAGAGTAAAATAACTGCAAAACGGTACAGAAAAAAGTACCTAGGTCTGAGTAAACCTACCCCTCTTTTCACCATTGTCTAATGAAGACCAAACAAAGCCTCGGATGTCGTCCCGTTTCTCGTTTCGTTTGGTGCATAACTAAGCACCGGGTATTAAATAAGCCCTTGCCCCGAGTTAAGAGTGTTGAGCAACGTCACTCATACCCTACTTTATGTTTGGTAATAAATCAATATCTAGCGTCTATGGTGTTTATGTTGATACTCGTGAATAGATGAATGGATTGATTCATGTATTATAAAAACCTAAATAACCTTTTTATGATTGTCAAAGTTCTTATAAGAAGGTTTTATCCGTTTTTATTCAACCTGATCTGAAATACAGTTTACTAGTGATATTTGAAATTCTAAGCTTGTTTGAATACAACAGCCATTAGACTGAAATTCAAAAAAGACGGCTTCTGATAGAAAGGGAATTTTGATTACAGTATACCTGAGCGTTAACAGTCAATTTGTTTACAGGTCACTCGTCATACTTGCTACTGTGACCTTGGGATGAAATCAAAATAGACCAGGAAGTACTAAATGAAATTAATATTTGATATTGAAACATACTAGTTTGTTGAAATGTGAACCGAAACTGTTCATAGTACCGTTTAATTGTATGAGAAGGTAGTAGTTCCACATTGGAAAAGTACGTCATGTGAGGAGAGAGGATTACTTGGCAGATAACTACATTGTTTGAACAAACACGCAGGTTATTTTGAATTCCAATGACTTAGTCGTATTTAAATGAAAATTCTGATTCGTGAACTTAATGTACTTTACAGGGTGGTCCAAAAAAATTGGAACATTTGATAATTGAACTCAAAATTGTTATTTGTTCTCTAAAATGCGCCAAAATTTTACTGAGTATTGTTCAATCACTTATTTATCTGATGTAAAGTATATAGGTGCAAACAACAAAGTTAATGCATTAAACTAGAGAATGTTTGATATGACCCCCTTTCTCCCAAATTACAAGTTGAAGCCTGGGACTCAGTTTTGAAATAATTCATTCACTTTGCTGTTCGTTTGATTTGTCTAAGCCATCTTGATTAAAAATTTAGCTTGAACAAACTACTTGTATGTTTGCCTTGGAGGATCAAATATATGAACATATTCAACATTTTTTCACCTCAATTGATGGGTATCAAGCATATTTTGATGGCTATTGTTTAATATGTTACTGACTGAATATTCTCCAGAAAGAGGCCAGGGCAGTCTATTTTGACTGGTAAATGAGCCCCCTCCCCTTTCTTGTTCTAATATGAATAATATTCATGGAAAACATCAATATATGTATATCAATATCACAAAGGAGTTTCCCAAAACACAAATGATATATTATATTATGTGTGCTTAGAGGTGGTCTTTAATAAAGCCTTTTAAATAACTAGTCAGTTTCCCCTTAACTGAAAAGTGGAAACAATGATTTTGTCAGTTTAGTAGCTGTAGGGGTTATGCAATCACTCTGACATGTTCTTTCTTTCCTACTCTTAAATAAAAACAATGATTTGGGGTATTCTTAAGTTGACAATAACACAATAGTTTTCCAGTAAGCCATATAGATGTTAATACCTCATGTCAACTAAATATGATTTTATAAAATGTTTATAGCAATCAAGATGTTCATTAAAGCTTTGAAATAACGAATACTTGAAAAAGTAGCTGCGAAATTGACAAGTGTATATTTAAGAAAAGGGGGTCATATCAAACATTGACTAGTTTAATGCATTACCTTTTTGGTTTGCACCTATACACTTTACACCAGAGAGATAAGTGACTGAACTATGCTCAGTGAAATTTTGGTGCATTTTAAAGGAAAAATAAAGGTTATGTGTTCAATTACCAAATGTTCCAATTTTTTTGGACCACCCTGTACAATCAGATAGAAACAATATCATCCTTGCATTAACAATGGGTCTCCCTTACTCAAGACACGATGCTGAAGAGGCAATACGGGCAGGTGATAAACGAAGGCTACAGCATATTCTACAAAGCCCACTGAAGTGCTTTTCACGTTCAACATTGTTGTTGAGGGCCTGTGGTATACAAAAAGAACGAGACATTGATAGGGCCGTATTACAATTATTGATTGAATATGGCGGTGATATAAATGCGAAAAACAAAGACGGACAGACTGCATTATTACTAATTATAAAGACGGGAACAATAGAGAATCTGAAAATATTGATTGCTGGTGGAGCAGATGTAAATACAACAAACTCAGATGGGGAGACTGCATTGATGTATGCAATTTTGTACAGATCTAATGAACATGCTGAAATGTTGATTGCCGGTGGGGCAGAAGTTAATACTGCAGACAAAAATGGAAATACGGCATTAATGTATGCAATTGATAGGAAATCCACCAAGTGTGTTGAAATGTTGATTGCCAATGGGGCAGATGTGAATATTGTAGACACATATGGGAGGAGTGCATTGATGTTTGCAAGTATGCATGATTTAAGTGAGTGTGTTGAAATGTTAATGGCAGGTGGAGCCGATGTTGCAGACGAAGATGGCAAGACTGCTTTAATGTATGCAATTATTAAGGAATCCACTAAATGTGTTAAAATGTTGATTGCAAGTGGAGCAGATGTAAATGCTGCAGACAAATATGGCAAGACTGCATTGATGTTTGCAAGTAAGCATTATTCGAGTGAATGTGTGGAAATGTTGATAGATGGTGGAGCAGATGTAAATGCAGCAGACGAAGATGGGATGACTGCATTGATGTTTGCAATTGAGCATTATCCAAGTGAATGTGTTGAAACGTTAATTGCCGGTGGAGCAAACTCTAATACTGCAACCAAAGATGGGAAGACTGCATTAATGTTTGCAATAAGGAAGCCTATGAATGCCTCTGAATGTGCGAAAATGATAATATCAAGTGGGGCAGATGTAAATACTGCTGACAACTCTGGAAAGACTGCATTAATGTATGCAGTTGAAAACATTTTGGTACCACATAAGTGTATTAAAATGTTGATTGCTGGTGGAGCTGATGTAAATACTGCAGACAAATATGGGAAAACTGCATTAACAAGAGCATTATTTCCATTGACTTTTCCAAGTGGAGTTGGGAGTGCCTGTGGAGGATATGTTAACATATTAGCCGAAGATCAAATGTTAATGAATGAAATGTTGAGGAATTCCACTGAGAATATGAACACGTTAATTGCAAATGGAGCAGTCATTAACGTTGCAAACAAAAGTTTATTTCAATCTAGATATTTCAAAACAACCATACCGTATTGTATAGATATTACATTTGGAACTGAAGACCCTGGTCATCTGCGTCTTAGAGCGATATGTGAGGAACATAATATTACCGTTAAAACAAAAACTGAATTAATCAACGCTATTCAAAGTAGAAAACTGAGCCTGAAATGTCAAGCTAGAATGCGTTTGTTTAAAACAATGGGAATGGATTGTGACAAATACGTAAATACCATTGACAGTTTAATATATGGAGGAAGCTTGCCTTCAGATTTGAAAGATTTCATGATGTTTAACAATGAAGTGTCTGAGATGATGCTTCTAATTAGAAATTATTGATGAGGGGATCTTTACCCAATTGAAAGTACACACACCTGGAAACTATTTTCCATGTAAACGATGGGTTCTTGGACAGATTGATATTTTAAGCATCTTGACTAGTTTACTTTAAGGACAATATAGCATTGAAAAAACATAGTATTGAAAAGCAACTCTATTTGAACAACACAAAAAAGTACATTTTTATTAATGGTACAACGAGTATTAGAAGCCTAAATTCAAACTCGTTATTCCCTTGCCTTGCATGGATCAATTTTGTTAAAAATTTCCCATATGTCTAAGATTAGCACTACCAAATAAATTGAATATTACCATACTACTCGTAAACTATATATATAGACTATATTGGTCCCCGAATGAACTTATTATATTATTATTACCAAATTGTTCCACGCCTGGCAACGGAATATCGAGATTAAATTTTGGCTTCCAATCATCCTTGTTAATGTTAGCAAATATCAATTCAATAAAAACTTTTCATCGAAGTTCCATAAACTTTAATTTAGGAATTTTTTCGATCGCTTATATCTAAAACCATGTTTAGTTCGAATTAAATAAAAATCTTATTCATTTTCCTTTATTATTCAATGAACCAGTATTGCCTTGTATTCAAAAAAGATGATACGTATAGAAAGCAGAAAGGGGAGGGGAAACCCAGGGGCTCACATAAATCAACATCTGCTTTAAATATAAAAACGTGTTATGATTATCTTTATGTTGAAAAATCTCATTAAACTCAATACATTAAAAAAATATCGCAAGGAGGCCCTACTAGTATACCACAAATATAAAGCGTAGCAACGTCATAACTACATCTTTAACTTCCTGGTTGGTGATAAATCAGCATCTAGCTCCTGTAAAAAACATGTTATGATGACATTATGTTAATTTATTTCTTTATTATAGAAATCTAAATAACCTTCTTTTATAATACGTTTCGCGTTACACAGTTGATTTTGAATAGATTCGCAAACGCCTTAATGAGCGTTGCTTCTCTCTGTATAGACATACCAGTACAACATACTTTCAATGTAGACTATATTTTGCGGGAGGAATGTGTTATTTTAAGAAAGATTAAACGATATCATTTGGTGATTTTTTATTGCATCAACACTGATTCTACTTAAAAGCGAATTGAGTTAATTAACGTTAAGTTAAGGCTCTTTATCGCCATCATCTTGCAGTGACATTGGAACGTGACTTAAAACAGATCAAGAAGTTCTTGATGGAAGTAATATTGGTTAAACATAACTTTTTTTCGTAGTTAAATCAAGGGTTTATTTAATACTCGGGGCTTAGTTGTGTACCAAACGAAACGAGAAACGACACGACATCCGGGGCTTTGTTTGGTCTCCATTAGACAATGGTGTATGTTTAATTGGCAAATTTAAATCGGATGCGGTAAAAAACCGAACGCCAATTTGCGAACGTTCCGGGTATTACGTTTGCCCTTGGTTAAAGTGTGGATCTAAAATGATCGTACTGACTTTCACGCGGCATCAAAGCTGTAGTAGTCATTGGAATTGTATATGACGATGAAGAGACTATTTTTATTTTGAAGAATTTTAAAGATCAACAACTATTTGAACATACACGTATGATATTTCGAAGTAGAATGGCCCAGTCGTATCTAACTGGAAATTCCAAAATCACGAGCGGATTATAAACGAAGATCTGATCAAAATAATACCTGACTATCATTAACAATGGGTTTGTTTTACTCTAAAGACGATGCTGTAGAAGCAATAAGGGCACGTGATAAACAGAGGTTGGAGTATATACTACAAAGATCAATATTGTTTTCCCGTTCAACATTGTTGCTGTTGGCCTATGAGAACTTTAATGTGCAATCTAGAATAGATAGTGATATATTACAACTGATGATTAAATATGGTGCAGATATAAATGCTAAAAACAAAAACGGACAGACTGCATTATTACTTGCCCTTTCTTGGACAGAAACTACCAACTGTGTAAAAATGTTGATTGCTAGTGGAGCTGACGTAACTGTTGCAGACAAAGATGGAAAGACTGCGTTGATGTATGCAATAGGTAGATGTTCAGATTATTGGACAACCGCCGAGTGTTTAAAAATGTTGGTTGCCAATGGGGCTGATATAAATGCTGCAGACAAATATGGGAAGACTGCATTGATATTAGCAATTAAGCGATATTCAAGTGAATGTGTGGAAATGTTGATTGCCAATGGCGCAGACGTAAATACTGCAGACAAGAAGGGGAAGACTGGATCGATATGTGTAATTGAGGATGATTCAAGTGAGTGTCTTGAAATGTTGATTGCCAGTGGGGCAGATGTAAATGCTGCAGACAAAAATGGAAAGACTGCATTAACCTATGCAATTGACAGAAAATCCACCAAGTGTGTGGAAATGTTGATTGCCGGTGGAGCAGATGTGAATACTGTAGGCAAAAATGAGTTTACAACATTAATGTTCGCAATTGGGCATTGTTCAAATGAGTTTGTGGAGATGTTGATTGCACTTGGGGCAGATGTTAATACCGCAGACAAATATGGGAACACTGCATTGATGTTTGCAAGTTGGCGACATTTGGATGAATGTGTGAAAACGTTGATTGCTGGTGGAGCAGATGTAAATACTGCAGACGAATACGGGAACACTGCATTGATGTTTGCAAGTTGGCGACATTCGGATGAATGTGTGAAAACGTTGATTGCTGGTGGAGCAGATGTAAATACTGTAGACAAATATGGGCAGACTGCACTCATGTTCGCAATTGAGGATGATTCGAGTAAGTGTGTGGAGATGTTGATTTCTGGTGGGGCAGATGTAAATCCTGCAGACCAATGTGGGAAGACTGCATTGATGTTTGCAATTATGAGGAATTCCGCTAAGTGTGTTGAAGCGTTGGTTGCCAGTGGGGCAGATATGAATACTATAGACAAAAATGGGAAGACTGCATTAATGTTTGCAATTATGAGGAAATCGGCTACGTTTGTGGAATTTTTGACTGTTAGTGAAGCAGATGTTAAAACTGCTGACAAAAATGGACAGACTGATTTATCGTATGCAATTGATAGATTTAGAACAGAACGTAGGAAATCCGCCCAGTGTGTGGAATTGTTGATTGCTAGTGGGGCAGATGTTAATACTAAAAATGAATATGGGGAGAGTGTACTAATGTTTGCTGTTCAAAAGAAATTCACTAAGTGTGTTGAAATGTTGATTGACAGTGGGGCAGATGTAAATACCGCGGACAACGAGGGAAGGACTGCGTTAATATATGCAATTGATAGAGATTCAAATGAGGGTGTGGAAATGTTGATTGCCAGTGGCGCAGACGTAAATAGCGTAGACAAATGTGGATGGACTGCATTGAAATATGCCGTTAACGTCGAATTCAGCGAGTGTGTGGAAATGTTGATTGCTAGTGGGGCAGATGTAAATACCGTAGACAAATATGGGAATACTGCATTAACATACGCAATTCAGAGGAAATCCACCAAGTGTGTTGAAATGTTGATTGACAGCGGGGCAGATCTAAATAGCGTAGACAAATGTGGATGGACTGCATTGAAATATGCCGTTGACTACAATTTCACCCAGTGTGTGGAAATGTTGATTGTTAGTGGGGCAGATGTAAATACCGTAGACAAATATGGGAATACTGCATTAACATACGCAATTCAGAGGAAATCCACCAAGTGTGTTGAAATGTTGATTGCCAGTGGAGCAGATGTAAATATTGTAGACATATATGGATCGACTTCATTAAAATTGGTAATTAAGAGAAAATTAACTGACTACGTAGAAATGTTTACTGCAAATGGGGCAGATGTAAATTTTGCAGAAGAAGATGGGAAGACTGCACTAATGTTCGCAATTGAGCATTATTCAAATGAGTGTGTGGAGATATTGATTGCTGCTGGAGCAGATGTAAATACTGCAGATGAATATGGGGATACTGCATTAACATACGCAATTCAGAGAAAATCCACCAAGTGTGTGGAAATGTTGATTGCCAGTGGAGCAGATGTGAATACAGTAGACAATTATGGGAATACTGCATTGATGTTGGCAAATGAGCATAATTCAAGTGAGTATGTGGAAATGTTGATTATCGGTGGAGCAGTCTTGAATGTTGCAAACAAAGATTTATTCAAACGTAAATATCTGAAAACAATCATACGGTTATGCATAGATATCACATTTGGAACAGACAACCCCGGCCATCAACGTCTTAACACGATGTGTGAAGAATTTCGCATTACCGCTCAAACACAAATTAAACTGATCGACCTTATTCGAAGTAGGAAACTGAGCCTAAAATATCAAGCTAGAATGTGTTTGTTTAAAACAATGGGAATGGATTGTGACAAATACGTAAATACCATTGACAGTTTAATATTAGGAGGAAATCTTCCTCTGGGTTTAAAAGATTTCATGATGTTTAACAACGAAGTGACTGAGATGATGCGACTCATTAGAAATGGTTAATGTGATGCTTATCCGATTGATGGGACATGCAAATGAAAACTTTTGTTTTCTTCAGAGCATTTTTAACATTACATGGTTTTGTTGAATCATTTGTGAACGTGAAAAAACTTGTACAAGTATAGTTTTCTATGGACTAGTGGTTTCTTCTCGTCCGATTGAGTATACAGATGTCGGGGAAATAGTTATAAAGAATAGTTGTACAAGTTTACGTACATGTTCTCTTAAAAATGTGTAACTTACCACACTGATACTATGTTACTTATTATCCCGGGTGCATTAATGGATGAATGAGAAATATAATGGTCGTGTATGCCAAGTTTATCTTCAAGAAAAATCTATATAAAATATTCTGAATTAAAAGCAATTAGTGCAGGGTCACTGAACAACCCTCGTAAGTCACACTATTTTTATTAAGTTACAATGTCAGTGATTCTTATACAAACAATGTTTGGTTTTGAACAACCCTGGTATAATATGCAGGGTTTATGACAATATCATTACAGAATTGTGTCACACTATTCACATGCAGTACTGTTAACAGAGCCAGCAAAAAGTTCAAAAAATGAAGCCCAATATCCTGTTGAAGAACCCCATTCCTTACGACTTGAAATTCGATAGTACTAAAACTATACGTGTACAAGTTGTTCACGTTATTGAACACCATTTATTATATCCAAACAAATGTATATATCTTTTTATTTCCCACCTTTATGGTGTACTTATCTCCATAACACTTATTGAAAGATTAACAGCATCAGACAAAACTACTCTATATCTACTGTATATATTATCTCTTTAGAAAGTGTTATGCTGCAAAAGTAAGCTTATTCTCTCAGGTCCGTAGCCAGGGGTATTCAAGGGATTCAAGCGACCCCACCTGGCCTAAAATATAAGTGATTTTCGCCATTTTTTGACTATAACTGTATTACGTCTTTACAATTTACATGAAAATGTATTTATTTGTTAACGATCCCCCAGCAGTTGGAAAATGAGACATTTGCATGATTACAAGAATAAAATGACGTCATGTTTGAAAGTTCAATGAAGCTGCTCATAACTATTTTCAGTAATTATGTTTTCAGCCCTTTTAGTTTGTCAGCTTTGGCACTGTATGTAAAGGGCAAATAGCTGTAATTCTCTTTCTAAATTGCTTAATAGTTTGAATTCATGAAAATGAATCACAGCCATTATAAATGTACATGTACATTATAGAGCAATACAAATTCTCCATCATAAATGTAGTTTTTATGATTTATACAACTTTGAATGATGAAGCATTCACATTGAATAAGAATTGTTTTTCATCTGAGCTGTAAAGCTTCCAAATGGATATAAGTATCGAACACAAGATAAAAAATATGTATATAGTACTAATGACTAAACATAATTATGGCTTGCTCTCAATCACATATTGAACCAAATCACATAATGAATCAAAGCCATTTTGGCTGTCAATTACACATTCTACGAAGATCTGCCAATATAATTTGCAATATAAAACTGTCATCAAAGCAATTATGGCTGTCAGTCACACAATCTATATATGTCCTTATCACAGCCAACATAATTAATCGAAGTCAATATGACTGTCAGTCCCACATTCTATATATGTCAATATAAAAGCCAACATAATGAATCAAAGTAAATAGAACTGCCAATCACACATTCTAAATCTGCAAATTTTACAACCATAATGAATCAAAGTAAATAGAACTGATCACACATCCTAAATCTGCAAATTTTACAACCATAATGAATCAAAGTAAATAGAACTGCCAATCACACATTCTAAATCTGCAAATTTTACAACCATAATGAATCAAAGTAAATAGAACTGCCAATCACACATTCTAAATCTGCAAATTTTACAACCATAATGAATCAAGGTAAATAGGACTGTCAGTCCCACATTCTATATATGCCAATATTAAAGCCAACATAATGAATCAAAGTAAATAGAACTGTCAGTCGCACATTAAAAATCTGCCGATATTACAATCAACATAATGAACCAAAGTCAATAGGACTGTCAATCACATATTCCAAATCTGCAAAAAGTACAGCCACTATAATGAATCAAAGTCAATGGGACTGTCAATCACATATTCTAAATCTGCAAAAATTACAGCTACTATAATGAATCAAATTCAATGGGACTGTCAATCACATATTCTAAATCTGCAAATATTAACATAATGAATCAAAATCAAGCTTGTTTTACACTAAATTGACTAAGCGAACTTTATAGTCAAAAGATAAAAGATAAAATCATCAAGATAATATTGATATTCAACTTTTACGCCATCTTTTTATCAATCTAATACATGTAAGAAAGAAGTACGTAAACTCATCTCTCTGACGTATTGTAACACTCAGATACTTAAGACATGTGTTTAATTTTAAAATAAAACTTTCCTGTGTGTTATCTATCATTCGTCCATCGTTTTTCAGCTTAATTCATATCTACATAATATACAAATGTACAAAAACATCTATCTAGTAAAGACATACCCCATCTGTGTACGTGCAGATCTTTGGGCATGACCGTGGTAAATGATTAAATGATTAAAATGGGATTATGTACTGAGTACATCTCGGTCAAACTCGTTTAACAAAATTCTAAGATATTAATTTACAATACTTGTTTGATGATGCTTTAAAAGGACTTGCAATTCATTTTGAGTACATCAATTGGGAATTGTGATTTCCCTGGGAATATATACCATTTAACACCCATTCTGTATCAACATGTGACCCAGCATTGAGTTTTTAAAAATATTGAAATCGTTTATTTAAAGATATAATGAACAGAATTGACGAACTCGGTTCGTGGAGGACTAAAGTATCCATCGCTGGCAAGTGAAATCGGTTTCAATAGTTTTAGCTTTAAAAAGTTATGACAACTTTTGATGTATTTTCACGTTTTTGATAATGTAAACAAATGAACTTGGGACCTTAAAGATTTTTATTTTTCTATTGACAGAGATGTATTTTGTGTCAATAGAAAGTAGAATCAATTCCCCAGAGCATGTGCTATACAGTATCGCCATCCGATTTTGCAGTGAAACATAATCTCAATTTCCGTAGGACAAGGTCACTTTTTTATAAAATGGTATGATTTATTCCGTATTAATTTAAACAAAACCACTAATACGGAACGATATAAACGAGACCGTGTAAAAATGATCGGTGAACAGAGTCATGCATGATATAAGCAACACGAATTTCCGTTTTGCTATAAATTCAAACTTCTTAATGTGATTGGCGTATACTGTAGTTATTTGTCGATTTGTAGTTAAACATAATATACTGAATATGTATTAATTTTTTTATTCAATTGAATTAAGGTTCGACGGTAAAAGGTTATTAACAGTGAATGGTACATGTTTGCGGTCTCGGTTTGATATTATCAGATCGTGTTTATGTTTCGTGTTAAATGATCACGTTTATACCAGGTATAATCACAGGCTGGTATCCCAAAATTTGTCCGCTGTGACGGGCTATTTTGCATAGAAACACTAGAAAATCCACATAATTTATTTTTTACTTATATGTTTCGCTATATCAAAAAATTACCTACTCCTTGCAATGGATATATCATTTGCGGGTTACCTTAATTTCTGTTTGAAGTCCAACAACGCTAAGAGTAAAAGCTATTTAAAACGGCGTCGGAGAATCATACTCCAAAATGTACATTTTCTTTTATTTCTTTTTAATGGTACAATATAGTGACACGATAATATCTACTTTAGTTTTGAGCATAACTGTGAAGGTATTAATGAGATCTTGATGTATTCGGTATTCTTATTTTTTATAAAAATAATGTTTAATCTTTTGTCCGCTGCTCCGTCACAGCGGACAAAAAATTAAACATTATTTGTCATTACCTTCAGAGTTATGCTGAAAACATATGTAAATATCAAAGTGACGCTATATTGTACCATTAAAAAGAAATAAAAGAAATGGTACATTTTAGAGTATGATGCTCCGGTGCCGCTTTCAATAGCTTTTACTTTTAGCGTTGTTGGACTTCAAACAGAAGTTAAAATTACCCGCAAATGATATATCCATTGCATGGAGTAAATATTTTTCTTTCATTTAGCGAAACAAATGAGTAAAAATAAATGTTGCGGGTTTCTAAGAGTTTCTATGCAGAAAACACACTCCGTCACAGCGGACAAATTTCCGATACCAGCCTGTGATAATGCAAATATGTAATTAAAAAAATAGTATATCATGAAAGTTCAATCGATATCTTCCAAACTGATAGCTGGAATAGCAGACGACGTTCACAATGCGACCTTGTGCTACGATGCTAGTAGTCATATATGCGAGTTGTGAGTATACTAGTAAGCTTTATTCTTTAGTTAAAATCATACTTTGTGATATGTAATATGTTCTAAAAGACACTGAAAAAAGTATAAGTGCTTTATATATCTGTTTACTTTGTCGTCAAATCATACCCTGGCAACGAGTTCACATTTTACGCACGACTTCTTCGCAGTATATTTTCATCAAAATTGACCTCGTTTTTGTGTGTGGGCGACGGTTTGACGGTTTGATGGTTTGTCTGTACTTCTGCTACGTAAGTACACTTTTAACATGTTTTAGACTAAATATCTCTGTTTATTCCATATTGTGAAAATATGATTTAATACTTCAATTATTGTAACCATATACGAGGGGTGATTCAAAAGTAATGGACAAAATTTTATAGGCCTACTAAATTTCACCCAATCAGTCTAATTTTTTCACAGTGAATAGATCAATCAATTTTCTACTTTGTGTCGAATTCTCATTTAAATGCATTTGAAATTGTTTCAGCTATGCGTAACCATGGTAACAAGGGTAAGCATGGGTGGAATTGGTTTTTTAATGATAATTGAATGTTTTTGTCATTTTTGCTTGATTTCGTTTTAATGACTCAATTACCACACATGATATGTCTAACAAGCATGGTAATGCAATTGTCAAGCAAGTATCACATGCCCATGTGTTTGCTGTTGAGTTCTAAATTCAGCAACCAATTGTGCTATGACATCACAATATTTCTAAGAATGATGAGTCACAGTGAGTCAGAAAGTAGATCAGACTCTTAGACTCACACACATCCAAGAAATGTCTACTTTACAACAAATCAAAGTTAAGCAAAGGATTGAGCTAGTTCAGGATACTCTTGCAGCATTCATGGACATGCCTCAACTTCCACATGCTCCATATAGCCCTGATACTGCTCCTTGTGATTTCTATCTTTTTCCCACCCTTAAGATGGCATTAAAGGGACAATCCTTTCAGACATTAGCTGAGCTGCAAATGGCTGTACAAAAACAGCTGAACACCATGGCTGCTGATGGATTTGGGCATGTGTTCTCTGCATGGGTGCGCCGACAGAAGACAGTAATTGATCTTGGAGGAGAATACATTGAGGATTGAATATAATTCAAATGGATGATCATCAGGAATAATAAGGAATGATACGGATTATTAATATTGAACTTACTGCGATATGCTTTTCATATACATCTTGCATTGCAAAATATATTGCACCAGCAAACTTTTCATTGAAAATCCATTTGTTATTATGATGAAAATAGCCTTAAAAATGGATTCCGGGTGTATGCACCATGATCCAAGAGAAGTGCTCTATCTCAAAATGTATTTGCATTTAGTTAATAACATTTTAACATCTAATAGATAATTGATTAATCTTTATTTGTACAAAGTTTCATTCAAATCTGGTAAAGGTAAGCGTGCCTATAAAATTTTGTCCATTACTTTTGAATCACCCCTCGTATATTCTCGTTGAAGAGTAATTCGCAGTTTTGTTTCTCAGAGAACCATTAGGCCCACGACATTGGGAAATATGTTACGCCTTCAATTTTAATTAGTTTCGATTATTTTTATGTAACGTATTGTAACGTACTTTATAAACCATCTATGACAATAATATTGCTATAATAACGTCACTTAAAAGTATTTATAACAGGTCGTGTAGACCCCCATTTCTTGATTTATAGCAAAAACATTGACATTTGCACGTTGGTGACGCTGCGCCTTTTTAAAAGATCGTACACTGTATATCTTAGAAGCTTATCAGTTAAAAAAAATCCTGAAAGACCTAACATATTTCCCCTCTTTCATGCGCTTATTCATTAAGTAATTCAATTGTAAAGGAGTGGTATCGATATGGACCACTGAATTTCTGTAAAAAAACAGGGTATTTTACGTAA